AATCATGAAAATAGTCTAACATCCCAGAATAAATTTAAAAAATAAACCTCAATCAGTTAAAACACCTGACTAATATTTAGGTTCAATGAATATCAGCTTCCCTGGGAGGCCATAATAGAATGAGCATAGATCTAGGAACCAAAATATTTAGATTGATATTTTGTATGAGTCTTAGTTTCCTTATCTATAAAATGAGAATAATACATCTGTTCTCTCTATTTCACAGGAATTTTTGTTTGGATGCCATGTCTGTAAAAGTACAGCATTCAAGTGCAAGACAGCTACTAGTTATGTTTAGCAGCAGCAGTAAAAGGCATCATGGACCAGACCTGTTTTCTGCCTTCACCAGATTACTGGGCAGCTGAATAGTCACTTTGACCTAGAACTGTAGGACAAAAGAAGGCAGAGCCAAACACCATGTCCTTAAGAGCTACATTGCATTTGGGTCCTACCTGCCTGCTCAGAGGTCTCCCCACTATTTATATGACACCCTATACTCTCACAGTGGTCCTGAAGCATGAAGTCTGTTCACCTGGAAGAAGGAACATTGTGATTCTTTTGTTTTTGTTTTTTTTGTGCACAGAGGTGCTTTGCTCTTATTCACTGTTAAATCGTGGTGCATTGCTTCATCTGCTAAGAGGGGCACCTTTCTCTTACTTGAACAACACCCTCATAAGGCTAGAAAAGTACTTTAAAACATTAACTTCCACATGTAATTCCACAGAACAGCCTCCTCAAACTTACATAAAGAAGATTTTAAAAATCTGATTTCAACTCTGCAAAAGACACTGTCAAAAGAATATCAAGACACAGAGTGTGAGAAAATATTTGCAAAATACATATGTGATAAAGGGCTGTTTCCGAAAGCATACAAAGAACTCTTAAAATGCACCTTTAAGAAAACAACCTGATTAAAATAATTGGCCAAGGACCTTAACAGATACCTCACCAAAGAAGACATACAGATGGCAAATAAACATGTGAAAAGATGCTCCAAATATATGTCATCTGGGAAATGCAAATGAAATGTCGCTATATACCTATTAGAGTGGCCCAAATCTGGGGACACTGCAAAGGCCAAATGCTGACGAGGATGTGGAGCAATGGGAACTCTCATTCCTTGCTGGTGGGAATGCAGAACGGCACAGCCACTTTGGAAGATGCTTTGCCAGTTTCTTACATAACTAAATATACTCTTACCATATGATTCATTAATTGCACCTCTTGGTATTAACCTAAAGAAATTGAAAACTTCTGTCCATACAAAAATCTACACATGTGGTCCAGCCAAACAACAAAATATAACTGAGTGCTAAAAGGAAATGAGCTATCAAGCCATGGAAAGACTGGAGAATCCTTAAATGCTTATTACTAAGTGAAGAAGCCAGTCTGAAGAGCCTTCCTACTGTAAGATTCCAACTATACCACGTTCTGGAAAAGGCCAAACTGTGGAGCCAAGAAAAAGGTCAGTGGTTACCATGGATTGGGGTGGGAAGAGATAAGTAAGCAGAGCTTACAGACTTTTAGTACAGTGAAAATAATCCATATGATATGATAATGATAAAAACATGTCATTATACATTTGTTCGAACTCATAGAACACCAGGAGTGAACCCTAAGTTAAACTACAGACTTTAGGTGATGATGATGTGTCAATGTAGGTTCATCAACTGAAGCAAAAGCATCACTCTGGTGGAGGCATGTTGATCGTGGAAGATGCTATACATGTTTAGGTGCAGGAGGTATTTGGGAAATCTCTACTTACATTCAGTTTTGCTGTGAATCTAAAACTGCTCTAAAAAATTTAGGCCTCTAAAAAAAAATCTGGTTTAAAAAAAGCATCAAGTACATTTCCAAAACAGAATATACTAAAAAACACTTTGATAACTTAGCTAGTGTTGAGGTTTACAAACAATTGAAAGCTTGTAAACAATTGTACATGGAAGAGTTCCCAACAATATTTACCAGGCCCTTAGGCCAAGCAATCAGTGCATGAATGGGCACTTTTCTAAACACATATCTCCCAGTATGACTATAAAAACTATTGCTCATTCTTTCTACATACCTGTTTATGATTAGGATTAAATTATATTTTAATAATCCTCATTGAGATGTCTCTAAGGCTTTTTTATTACCATCTATAAAATATAGGTAACACAATTTACTATACTGTTTTACTTAGTGGATATGTATTAACTCATTTCCCATATGAACTACTAGCAAATAGTAAAAGAAAAAAAAAGTACTTAAGAAGTACATATTTAAGATGTTACTTTAGTGAAAACGGGCATTTCCTTTGGTAATGATTGCAAATAATATAATTTTCATGGCAAATATGGACTCATGTGTATTTATAAATTAGTGTCTACTTGATGCAAATATTATTTGGACTGAGGTGAGATTTGGAAGCAAAGTATGGTTTCCGATTGAAATACCTCTAGATTTGAGCTGAAGTCATTTTAAAATAAATTTCTGTTCTTTTCTGACAAATGAAATTCTCTCAAGGGGTTCTTCTCTTCCATCTTCAATACACTGAGCCTGTTGCCCAGAAGAGCTACGCAAGCTTTTCTGAATCTTTTCAATGTTGTCATCACTTCTTGGGTACATGAATCTATTCATTTTTTTGTTTTTTCAACTAATTTTCAATGAGCCCTTATCATTTGACAGGCATTTAATTGTCCTTAAGTGCCTAAGAATGCAACTCTACACTTAGTCTAGTTATTTTTAAATGAAAATTACCCAGAATGATCACGAATGAACCCACTCGTGTATTCTTTATAACACTCATTTAAAAGTAATAAGTGAATGCTTATTTTCAAAAAGAATATTACGTTGAAAGAATTGTTTAAATGGAAGTCACTTGAGCTAATTTTGCAGATGCAAAACCCTGAAAAATTCAGGTAGAACAGAAAAGACTAGCGTAGTCTATTGATTTGTAACAAAGGATGTTATAAAAGTGCATAAGCCACAAGGGGCTATCACCCCACACCCACTAGAATGATTAAAATAAAAAATATATATAATAATAAATTAAATATAAATAAATTAGAACCCTCACACACTGCTTTGGGGAAAGTAAAGTGTAGTCACTTTGGAAAACAGTCCGTCAGTTCATCAAATGATTAAATATAGAGTTTCCATATGACCCAGCAATCTCACTCCTAGTTATATACCCAAGAAATGAAAATATGCCTACACAAAAACTTCTGTATTAATGCTCATAGCAGTATTATTTATAGTAGGTGAAAAGTGGAAACAGCCCAAATGTCTATCAAGGGATGAATGGATAAATAAAACAAGGTATATCCATACAATGGGATACTTTTTAGCAATAAGAAGGAATGAAGTACTAATACATGCTTCAATGCGGTTAAACATTGAAGACATTATGCCAAATGAAATAAGCCAGTTACAAGAGACGACATATTGTATAATTCTGCAATACGAAATGCTAATAATAGGAAAATTTATTGCTAGAGACTGAATGTTTATATTTCCCCAAATTTCTGATGTTGAAACTTAACCACCAGTTGATGGTATTAGGAGGTAGGGTCTTGGGGAGGTTATTAGGTCATGAGAGTAGAGCGCTCGTGAATGAAATTAGTGCCCTTATTAAAGGGACCCCAGAGAACTCCCTCGTCCTTCCAGCATGTGAGGACATCCCTAGAAGACAGCCACCCATGAACCAGGAAGCAGGTCCTCAGCAACACCAAATCTGCCTGTCCTTGATCTTGGACTTCCTAGTCTCTAGAACTGTGAGAAATAAATGTTTTTGAAACACCTAGTTTATGGTACTTTGTTATAGTAGCTTGAACAAACTAAGATATCTATAGAAACAAACACTAGATTAGTGGCTTCCTGGGTTTAGGGTACAAGGGATGGGGGGCTGGGGACCAAAAGATGATGACTAAAGGATGTAGAATTTCTTTTTGGAGTAATGTAAATGTTATAAAATTGATTGTGGTGATGGATGCATAACTCTGATTACACTAAAAGCCACTGAATTGTATACTCTAGAAAGGTGAATTTTACGGTATTTGAATTATATCTAGATGAAACTTAAAAAAACTTTAATGTTTTATCCCTAAGGGCAAAAGAGAGAGAGAGCAAAATTTCGTTTTACATAACACTATTTTCTAATGTGAAATATTTCTAGTTAATAATATATTTATGTTTCTCTCATGAATACATTGAAACCTTTCCCAAATGTATGCATAATTTTTGCACATGATTCTAAACTTGGGATAACTGGTCCCTTAGGTTTATTCCCAATATGTAAAGAAAGACTTCATTGTCATGACAATAGATCTATTTTCTTAGAGTTCTATCTTAGTTTCATTTGAACACAGTCATGTATATCCTCTTGAATTCAGAGATAATTATTGATATTTATGCTTGTTTTTTCTGAACTCAGGTGTTTACCACAATGCAATATTCTGGATGGGGATGGAACAAGAGTCTTACTCAGCTATATCTTATAAACTACTCTTGAAGAAAGCTTAGACTCGCCTGCAGAAATTCCAACATTTATTCTTTTATTGTAAACTTTCTAAGTGTTAATTGAGGCTTGAGAAGGAGTATCACATTGACAAAATTATTTCCATACAATGATAGATTTTCATTTCTTTTTCTTCTAAACTACTGTACGTGAAATCTTCTCCTTCTAACTCCTTGTTGGCTTAAGTAAGATATAAGCACATGACAGAGGAAGTCTCCCAATTACGAGGTCAACCAAATACTTTGACTCAGAGATGAGGATGAAGTGTTCTTTGATGCCAATTTTCCACCCCTATGGTGGGATTAAAGTAAAGAAAAAAGTATAAAATGCATTCACAGCATCTGGCAATGAGTTACTGTATCTAATACATTCTGTGCATTCTGCCAGATCCTGGGATCAAAAATAAAAATGGTGAGAGGGTTACTCTTGAGAAAATCTCAGTATGAGTTTTCCTGTACAAGTGGCATCTTTTTCTATGATACATTAAAGTTAGTGAGCTTACCTTTTTCTGAAGCAGCAACTGTGATGTTGTACCACGGAGTTTCCTCTCTATCAAGAACCTTTGTAGTCTTAATGATCCCAGTGTTGGCATCAATGTTGAAAAATCGGTCATCTTCAGCATTGTACTCAATGAAGTACCTACAGAAAAAAACCAGACAAATCATTTTATTTGATGTTGTAATAAAGAAAATAAAATGGAATAAACGGCAGTATTAAATCAAATATATTTAAATATTTAAATGCATATTTTTAATTTTTATATTTGGCTCTTAAGATTTGCCTGGCAACTTCATATTTGCACAGAACTGACATCAACTATTTTTACCTGTCAGTTAATGCTTAGCTCAATTACTAATTCAAACAATTTTTTTTAAAAAGCCCACTTACTAAAATTCCATGAATAGAACAGTGGATTGTATCTAGCAGAAACACAGTGATTAATAAGGGGGAGACAAAATATAGGACATTGGAAGAAAAAAATAAATTAAGTCTTTAATGAAATTTCTGTTATAGGTACAAAATTTTTAGGATAACACGAGATGTCAGAGATTGATTTATCTTGGAGTTTCATTATAATTGAGATTTGAAGATAAATATAAAGTGAAAAACAAAACATTTTAGTCAATTGCTATTGTATCTCCATCACCTGGCACCTGTGTTTAGTGAAAGAATGAGAAAATAAATAAATGGGAGGTAGCTTGCATTATTGGCCACAAATCTTCTTCCCTCTCCCATTGATGTAATTTTTCCTGATTCTCTCATGTTAAGTTTGACTTCCAGCTTTTTTTGGCAATAGAATGAGTTGAAAGTGATGGTGTCCTGTTCCATATTTGGGCCTGGGTTCCATGAGACTTTGCACATTTCCTCCTATACTCTGCCATCGCCATAAGAAGAACATGCCAGGCCTAGTCCAGTGGTCCCAGAAAGAAGATGAGAGACACAAGGGCAGAGTTGCCCCTGTTCATGTTCCCCATCCTAGAGTAGAACTACCTAGTAAATGAACTGATGCATGATTGAATGCACTGGAGACAAGCAGGGCTGGCAAACAAAAGCCAACTTACTTTAGCTGATGCTCAGCTAACTCACAGACACATACACTATGGTTATAAATTACTTTTTAAATATACTTATGACTTTTGGGATTTTACATTATTCAGGAGTAGTTACTTAACATAAATATGAATAAATAATATAGTAAACAATCATCAAATGTTCTAGAAGTGTTCCAATCTATTTATAAAACTACTTAAAGAGATGAGTGTTTTCTTCTTTCCTTAAAACTTTAATACTTCTCCCCTCTTCCTTAATCTCATCTCAAGTAAAATTTCCTCTAGATCTGAAGAATAAAAACTAATTGATCATGCAAAAAGTTCTAGTGGAAGAATATTTGAAATATATGGAACCTAAGTGCAAAGATCCAAATTAAAGAAAAGGCTTGACTTGGTTTAAAAACAAATGTATTGCTAACTTCAAGTTCTCTGGATAGATACCCAATAGCGGAATAGCTGGATCATATGGTAGTTCTATTTTTAATTTTTTGAGGAATTTCCATACTGTTTTCCATTGTGGCTGCACCAGTTTGCATTCCCACCAGCAGTGTATGAGGGTTCCTTTTTTCTCCACAACCTCTCCAACATTTGTTACTATTTATTTTAGTTATTTTTGTCATTCTAATGGGTGTAAGGTGGATATCTATCCAGAGAGCTTGAAGTCAGCAATTCCAAAAGTCCTATGCACCCCGATGTTTATTGCAGCATCATTTACAATCGCCAAGATGTGGAAGCAACCTAAGTGCCCATCAACAGATGATTGGATAAAGAAGATGTGGTATATATATACAATGGAATACTACTCAGCTGTAAAAAAGAACAAAATCATCCCATTTGCAACAACATGGATGGACCTTGAGAGAATTATGTTAAGTGAAATAAGCCAGATAGAAAAGGGCAATCTCTGTATGACTCCACTCATATGAGGACTTTAAACCTGTGGACAAAGAGAACAGATTAGTGGCTACCAGGGGAAAGGGGGGTGGGGGTGGGCACAAAGGGTGAAGGGTTGCACCTACAACACGACTGACAGACAATAATATACAACTGAAATTTCACAAGATTGTAACCTATCATTAACTCAATAAAAAATTTTTGAAAAATAAAAAAATAAAAACAAATGTAGGTTTCAGTGTGTCCAGGCAGACTGAATGAGATGGATGGTGAGGGAGTGGGGCAAGCAAGACGTGTAGCACATGGTGAAGAGTTTCTACTGTTTTAAGAAAGCAATGGGAAAATAGTAAGCAAAGGAAATAACAGATCTATCTATGATCTGGAAAAATCACAGTAGCTACTTTGAATCTTGAATTGTAGAAAGTTAAAAACAATTTTGGGAAAAAAATTATGACATCTTGGACAAAGGTGGAAAAAAAGAAGGAAATGGAAAGAAGTGTATAAAATAGTGCTATATATTAGATAGAACCTGTAGAACTTTTTGTTGGAGTGACATTAGTAAGAGGGAGAAATTACAATTGACTCGATTTTTGTGTGTTGTGTGTGTTTGATCTACACAAATTCTGTAATTGATAAGCCCAATACTGAGCTGGATAAAGAGGTAGGGGAAAAACTCCTTTTGGGAGAAAAAGAATTTGGGAGATATCAATGATTTTGATGTTTTGTGCTTTAGATGTCAATTAGATAAACATATAGAATAAAAAGCAGAGAATTAAATATGGGTGTAGAATTCAAATGTGCTTTCTGAACAGGAAATATAAATTTGAGATACATCAGTCTAAATTTAAAGTAATGAGAACAGTATAATCTCATCTAAAAGAGAATTGTAAGAGAAAAGGAAGTGAAAGATTAAGCGCTACAACACCTAACATTTTGAGTGTAAAGCAGCCCAGCTTATATATGAAAGAAAGTACTAGCAAAAAGAAAGGAACAGCCCAGGAAGGAAGTGAAACTGGGAGAGTGATGTGTCATAGAAGCCAAGAAAGAAGAATATTTTAAATGGACAACTATAGTGAATTCTGTTAAGAAGTTGAGTGAGATTAGAAACAGTTAATTGGATTTGGCAAGATGGAGATCATTGGTTAACTTGAAAAGAGTAGTTTTAATAAAATACGAGAGGATGGGAGTTTTATTACAGTGGATTCAAGAGTATATTGAATGTGAGTATATGAGGGCTATGAGTCCTGACATTTTATTGGATACCATTCCCTGAGAAAGAGATCAGAAAATGGTGCCTCACGTCATCAGAGAAGTGGGATGGATAAATCAAATGTTCTGATATGGAAGATATTAAGCAGTGTCTTCAGTGAAAGGAATGATTATTTTGAAAGAAGGGAATATCCAAAAAGTTAAAATTCATGAGAAGGTGAGCAGGATTGGGTTCCAGAGCACAAATATAGAGATTTCCATTGAAAGCAATAGGGGCACTTCTTCCATTTTAGAATGAGTAAAATCTCAGACATTGGATAAATATATAGAATAGGTGATTGTAGTGATAAAAATATCACAAAATTCATCATAGTTTTTGGAACAGAGGAGTATAAGTGTAAGTGAAATACAACCCTATGTCTCTCATAGGAGGTGTAATGTGTTAACAGGGTATGTGGAACATATTGCTAAGATGTGAAAATTTATATGAACAAACATGGTAGAAGATATTAATAGCACCATGTAGACCAAAACTATAGAACACGCCAAGAAATCTAGGAGCTCATTTAGTGAAAATAACACCCAAAAAGAGACAAAATATATCACTTGTAAGTGTGTGATCAAAATAAGGAATTGACCACTGTGCATTGATTGTTCTAATAATAACTATACGTTTATTGAAGAAAGTTCAATATGAAAAAGCAATTTAAACAAGAAATACATATACAAAGCAAATTTGATTCAGAGAAGAGACACTATAAAATCTTCAGGATCCAGACACTACAGACGAGTGGGTAAATAGATCCAGATACTACAGAATAGTGGGAAAATGGTAGGTCATTGGGCTTTCCCAAAGCATTAGGCCACGGTACACTGAAACTGATTTACTTTCTTTGACTTCAGTTCACATCACAAAAAAACCCTTGTGATAATATCTCTTCCCAAGAGTCCTGAAGCTGAGGATGAGGGTTGAAGTGCTTAGGAGATATGAGAAGTCTTGTCACATGAAAGGATAGCATCCTTTAAAATGTAAGCAGTTGGCAACCTTGTTATTATATCATCTAAAGTTAGTTGCCATTAACCTGTCTTCAAGAAACTTTCCATTTTGGAGTACTCTAAGAACAATGGTTTCTGTATCTGAAAGTTGGGCCTAAAATTTAAACGTAATTCGACCTCAAAGTTTCCTGCAGCAACATTCAGCAAAGCTTGGATTATATTACTATAAATATACCCTATGAAATATAGCAGAACACGCCCCACTTTAGAAATCTGATCACTTTGGACCTGCCAATCTGGAAGAAAAGGCGGTTTCTTATTTTTTAAGCTAAATTAAGAATCTGAAAATGTGTAGGCTATTGGAGCAATCTTCCCTCTTTTAGACACTTCACATAGAGCTTTATAAGGTAAGTGCTAGTATTAGTGGTTAAGTACTTTTAGATTAAATATGCTTTTCATTTGGGTTAAAAAATAAAAGTTATGTTTAAACATTTTTAAAAATAGTAGGTATAATGCTAGGCATGTGTATCACACTCATGTAATTTACTTCTTAGCTTTCTCTGCCACCTAATTCTCTTGGGAAATCCATAATGTAAGGGTAGGATATTGGAGATTGCTTGGATCCAAAGAGTCTTATTCACAAAGTTGAAATTGAATTTTGACTCAAGGAGAACTAAATAGTTCTGCTTAACTAACCCTTGGATTTCTGCCTTAGAAATAGAAATAAAAACTCAGAAAAAGGGAAAACAGAAATGTGAGAGAAAAGAAACCATTCAAAACTATTTTAGGGGATTAAATATAGAATCATTCAATGCTCATTATTTAAAATTAAGATGTGACATGGGTCCATAAAACTGTTTATCAAATAACAAAATAGATTTAAATATTCTCAGTAGCTGACTTTTCAAATAATTTTAATAATAAAACCTAATTGTTTCCTTTCACAAACCTTCAAAAAGTAAACCCATCTTAATACCTGATGAAGTTAAT